TTTGAATACTGGATTTCAGGTACAATTATGGTTTATTTAGCCATTCGGTAACTAAATAAAATCCAATCTAGCATCTCATACTTCATAAAACGAAAATGTTTTGTTTTCTGTCAGCAATTAGTCTGATAGAACTGTTGAAAGACATCTTGGGATGGTTTTTTCTTAGTGTGTTTGTATTAGTATAATTCTAACTTGTTTACTTTATTCATCTGTGAAAAAGATTTTGAAATGAAGAATGATGGTGCCATACTTAAGGGGTTTCAATGGAAAACCCTACATTTAGGTTAAAAAAAATTATATACAGATTAAGGAAACTTGGCTTATTAGCAATTAATAAAAACCTTGAGGATTTTAGTTTAATTTTAGGTTCAATTTGGCATTGATACTAGGCTGTTTTAATGTGTCTGCAATGGGAGGTAATAATCTTTGATGAGATCAGTCGAGGAATTGTGAACAGTAGCTAAATGCATTTATTCCAGGCCTTTTTCTTCTTAGTTTTCCAGTAAGGTTATATGCTGAAGCCTCATCCTGGCATGAAGATGAAGCTGGGGCCTTGAAAGCTATGCCACTAGGGTACATGCTGTGGCAGGCCCTACCAAGCTAGGAAAAAAGCTCACTATTATATGAGGACCAGCTTAGCTAAATCAAGAGATTGCTCACCGGAAGTTTGCCCACAAGGTGATAAGTATTTTGCCTACAGTTTATGAACAGCATCTACTGAGGCACTGAGTTTGGGTGATCTGCTTTGGTAGAGGGAATATCCACATGGAGGAAATCATGGATCTTTTGAAATCTTAAGTATTACTTATGTTGGAACGCAACTAAATTTTATTTTGGAAAAGTTTATAAGAAGCAATCAGTGCTGATTCCACATGTAACTTTCACATATTCCTGGATGAAGCAGCCTTTCTTCCAAGATAAGGTAATTGACATTTTTAAAATGACAAACACGCCTTTTAGGTTCCAAAGTAAAACTTCTAAGTCTAAATATTATAGAAAACAAGAATTTCTTAGCAGAACCTTTATTTTAGAAGTTTGTCTTGAAATACGAAATTTTAAAATGCTACTCGTTCTATATTTGGTACCCATTAATATTTCAAGAATGCTGAAAGTTGGCAATAACTCATGTCCCACCAGCCAGGCAAACAAGCAGTTGACAACCCTTTTACTACAAAATAACTGAGGAAATTATTTTAGTACAAAAAAGGAGAGGGGGAGAGTATCCTCACTTTCAACTGAGCACACAAGTCTAAAATGAACTGTACTGCTCCTACCTTAGAAACAAGTCAAAATCAGAACTTTGGAGACAAAGTTTAGGAACTTTAGAGATCATCTAGCCTACCAATCCCAGTGATACAAAATATGGTTGGCCAAGCTAGGACAAGAAGTCTCATTGGCCCTGATCCCATTTGGCCCATTCTATTGACCAGGTGTCCATAGGGGAAAACCATATGAAGAAAATATGCTTCCTCAAAGTTGGAAAAATCAAAATAGCAAAGTGAGAATGCAATAGGAAAGATTTCAGATAATACTATGTTTTGGAATTAATACACTATTAACACTTTAGTATTGCCAAATGTTCTTTACCGTGACTTTCATGCCCATGTAAACACCTTAAATTGTCATGTTTAAGGCAAAATGTGACAGAATTAAAATTTTTGTTTAGGAATATTACCTTAGACTAAATTTTTTTTCCCTGCAACAAGTTTTAAGATAATTTGGTAAAGGAATTTGAAAATTTAGTTGAAGGCTTTTTCACATGTGACATGTTACTGTACATTTGAAACAATCTTAAAGGAGATTTTAAGATTTTTGATGTTAGTGACACTGTGAAGTTTGCGTATTTATGTGAAAAAAGGTCATAGATCAAATTTTACAATATTAAAGTGATAAATCCGTTCCCTGTGGAGCACAATATTCTAAGTTGTCACAAAATGAGTAATTCTTAAAAACATATTCCTAGGGGAAATATAAAAAAAAGAAATGAATTTCCATGATGGTCAGTACTCCCTAATGTATAGCAATACCACAACATCCGAATGGCCTCAAAAAATGTCTCAGTTGTTAATTTAAGAAAATAGCTTAAGGGACACACCTAGTTTTTGCTGAGAAATTAACCCTTAATTTAAATATAGATGAAAGGGGCCAGCTTTTAAGATTCACAGGACTGTCACCAGCTCAAATCACAAACAAGGTCACAACTTCTGCCTATCTGCCTATCTTGAACCAATAGTCTAAAGAAAAGATTCCTGGTTAATTTTAAATCCCCTGGGCCATCTAATCCTATTCCTGAGGTTTTAAAAGCAAATAGTACAGAAAGTGGTGGGATGGAAAAGGAAACAAAAGCATCAGAGGACTGAACACACCTTGTGTACATGATAATGAACCACAGTTTTCACTGAAACTTCTAATTACCACCATTCTATTTCATCAGCTGTTTAGCTGGTACCTACTGCCATTTCACCTAGACTGAAAATTCCGAATTAATGGAATGTGGAAGAAATTGTGCTGCTGATGGCCCCAGGTGGCCTTTTAGTTCTAAAAGGTAGGTGTCTTTTTATTAAGATCATTATTAGAAAAAACAAAGAGTAGCTTAAAATCCAAAAAGTCCTAAGAACTCTGGCAGCAGGCTCCAAAATAGAACACTTATTACGCAGCTAATTTCATTCTGAGATGTTCTAATTGTTCAAAATTAGTCAAAGTACCACTAAATTTAGTAGATAATACATTTTCAAAATGGATTTTAAAAATTCCTAAAGCCTTATTTTTTTATTTTGTCTATGCAGATGTCCAGTTTATGTAAAATTTTTCACTACAAGAAGATGACCTCTCCTCAATCATAGCAGATTCTTATTTCTTTGGTACTCTGGCTTGCTTAGAGATCATCTAGTTCAACACTTTGATTTTACATATAGAGAGAAAATGAAAGCCCAGAGAATTATCCTGTCTCATACAATTAGAAATTGTCAGAACAAAGTTAACCCAAGTGATCCAGTCCAGTTTTCTTTCTATTCCACACTATTAAAATAATCTGCATTTTTAAGTATCTGGATGTTCCTGATCCTGATGATTTGAATAAAGTAGGCAGTAAAGAAAGTCAAAGTCAAATGTTCTTACAAATGTATTCCTTAGACCACTTTCTGTTTTCTCCTTCTCTTTCCCTAATTATACCAAGTACTTTGGCTGCCAAGTAGAAAAGTCAGTAGAGATATCTGGCTTTCAGAATACTTAAAAGATATAAAAGAACCATTTGCTTATGAAAAAAAAAACATGATAGTTAAGGCATTTGTTCAAGCATTTCTTAAAATATTTATTCTACCCCATAACTAGAAGACAGCTTGAAAGAGAAAAGGGGTACCTTCCTTTATGTGCTTGAAGCAAATTTCATTTTCTCCTTCCTTGATGTAGGGAACAAAAAACAAAATACCACCTTATATTTGTACCACACTTTTTATCTTGAAAAGTATTTTTCTTTTTAGATGACTCTATACCATATTTCTCCCTCTTCCTACCTTAATTTTTGCTGCCAAAACAGTTTTGGAAACTCCTGTACAACCCCAGGGGAACAGAATTGGTAAACGACTAGTAACTCTCTTTTAACACTTGATTTTTACTATTACCAGTTGATACCTTATCCCTGACAGGAAACACTGTATATTCTGTTGAATAGTTTCATTCTTCTACATGCGTGGCCTAAGTCAAAAATCCTTGGAAAGGGAAAAGGTGGGAGGTTTTGCTTCATTAAGAATGAAACAAAGGGCAGCTAGGTGGCAAGGTAGAGCATCGGCCCTGAAGTCAGAAGGACCCGAGTTCAAATCTGGCATCAGACCAAACACTTGACACTTAACTAGCTGTGTGACCCTGGGCAAGTCACTTAACCCCAATTGCCTTAAAAAAAAACCAAACTAGCTCCAAGAAAGTGGGATGAAAAGACATGAGCACTGGGTGAAACTCGAGGGACCTGGCCCAGATCCTGGTCCCTGTGCTGTCCTGTACCCTTTTCTCTCACTTTGGGCAAATCATGATCTCTATATACCTCTTCATCTTCAAAATGAGCGGACTGAACTTAGACAATAGATACCTAAAGATTTTCATAGTCTCCAAGGCTATGAAGATCCATCCTGATGGAGGCATTAGGATTTTTCTCAGTAGAGGCCTTGCTTGCAACTTGTAGAGAAAAACAGGTATAGCAGTGGCAATGTTCCAGCCCAGTACATGTAAATGGATTTGTCCTTGTTAATGTTTACATAATACATATATGCATATAACATACACATAAATAATATAGACAATATCCCAGTACCCTGAAAATGAAGAAAATGTGCTGACACAAATAAGGAATGTAGGTAGAGGTTAGGTCTTTGTAAGAACTATTTTGGTAGCTGATTAAATTCAGTTTGATAACCGTGACCATTTTCATTTTTTCAAACTGTTTTGGGTGGATGACAGGTTAATAAAGAATAATATATATAAAAATGTCTTTCAGTTTTTTTCTTGAAATGTTCTTACACATTTATATTAAAAGTGTATCTCTGTCTCTTCATTTAGTGAATGCTAGAGAGATGGACCAATGAGAGAAAGAAATGAGGACTGAGTGAAAATCTAAGGGTAAGTAACTTTAATCTCACCCACACACACAATTTCTAAGGTTTCTAACAACTTTGCAGTCCAAGTCTTCTCAAAGTATAAGGTGGAACAGAGAACATAATAGGTATTATCATGCTTCAAATGAAAACTATAAATTTAGATTTGATTTTTGCCATTGTAATAAAAGAATGCTTTGTTAAAAGTTTCAGAATAATCCAAGTGAGAAGCAAGGTTCTGAGTCCTAGAAACACTATCATTAACTTGCTATAGTAATCCAAAAGATAAAAGTAGATGAAATGTGCTGTTGTAGTAAAATATTAAGCTGTATTCAGAAACCTAGAAAGTCACTAATGTACAATCCTAATTTTAAGAAGGCAAAAAGTTCATACTTTAAAGAATTTCCAAGCATCCAGACACTTAATTTTGTTATTTATTTCACCCATATAACACTAACAAATTCTAGATCGTGTTATACTAGCAGAAAGGTTTGACGTTTACAGTACAGAGAATGAAATGTTAAACACTTCTATACACTGCAGATATTTTTTAAATAAAATTTCCATTTTTTTCAAGTGTCCCTGTTAAATGTTTCTACAGCTGATCAACTTTGCTCATAGTCCGTGATTTCAAGGAAGGCTTTAAGTTGTTCCTTAGCCTTCTGACCTAGATTAAGAGTTGCTGGTTTTGGTGCTGATTTGTTTTCTTTCAGGATCAAGGTGGGTGCTTTCAAACAAAATCTTGTTTTTTATTCCTTCCTGGAAGATTCTTTGCTGGATTCTTTGCTTTGCATAATTATATCTACAAGGAAACCTTTAAGAAAGATTAATCAAATTCTTATTGAAGTAGTGATAATTTATAACATAGTTACTATTTCTTTTCCTAATTGTGTACAAGACTGAAAAATGTGTTTGGAGATCACTACTACCACATAATCAAAATACTGACTTAAAGTAAAATCCTAATCAAATATTTGGGACTGAAAGGGTAGTTTTTGTATGACAGTACTAATAAACACATGTTCTTTTTAACAGTTTAACTGATAGCAAATTTTTAGATACTCATCATGAATTTAAAAAAAAAATTGTTCGAGGCTACCCAACATTCACAAAGTGTTTCCAAACTTTCACTTTTCACTATTATTAAAAATACTCAATAATTTATTTAGTATTTAATATTTTCTTTTCCCCAATTACATGTAAAAACAATTTTTAATGTTTGTTTTTAAAACATTTTGAATTCCAAATTCTCTCCCTTTTTCCTTCCTTCCCTTCCCTCCTCATTGAGAAGGCAAGCAATTTGCCTTTATTATAGGTATATGTGCATATAACAATTTTCAAGCACAAAATAGGCTTAATTTTTCTTCTGCAGCTTTTTGTGGATCCTGCCACCAGTCTCCTGTCCTACGTTTGGGGATCCCCACAGCACATACTCTTTCCAGTATATGGTAATATACTCTGCTAAAACCTTTCTTGTGGCAGATATTTAAGAGTTTGGTACAGCTGGGATCTTATATCAGACTTTGCCAATAGGTGCCAGATACTGATATACTATAGATTGCATATTTTATACATCAAGAATACCAGTTTCAAAAAATTAATCAATTCCTTATTTTGTTAAACTTGTATTTAAAATTCCATATCAGTTTATTAAAAATTCAGTTAAAATATGTAAATAACCAAAATAAGTTAGTTTGCATTTTTTCCTGTGAGGAAAAAAAATTACATAGGTAACAAGGACAGATTTTAAAACTTTTGCATTCTTTATTATAGATGGATGACACAGAGTAGCTTAGATTTCATTTAAGAAATGTTGGACATCTCTGATGCATATAGGTTTGTTCAGAAAATAAGCATACATACCAGCATCCTAAAGTTCCCAAAATAAATACTCCTACTGCAATGTCACAAGATCTTCTAACTCTACCTATTAAATAAACATCACCCAGATGTTAGTTTTAATCTCTGAAACTATTGCAACTAGAAAAACATTTTCATATGGATATATACAATTTATTAAGTGCAAATACTCACTAGTAAATAAAAAATGTCCAAAGCCAGCTATAACAGATCCTAATGAGCCGTAGAGTACAGAGTCTCGTGCACAGGGTACATTTTGGACATCCAAGATCCCTAGAAGCTTAAAGGGCTAGCATTAAAGGAAAAGAAAATAAGTCTCGTTTGAACAAAAGAAAATATTTTCTATTTCAGATTTATTCACATTTTGAATTTCAACATTCCCAACCTCCAGAAGTGTCCCTTTTAAAAAAATCAACGACCATTATGTTTAACTTGCTTTTGCTAACGAAAGCCAACAATATTCCATTATCTATAAATATTGGAGCCATTAACCTAAGGCATACAGTGTGTGACATTGTATGAGTAGACAATGAGTTTTTACTGAATACTTAATTTCTGATAATTTGATGGTGAAAGTCTTGTTCAGATAAATTTGTTAAGTGATGTACCAGCCTGCTAATTAGGGGATTTTTAAATACTTAAAGAAAAAAAAAAGATTGTGTATACATACACACACAGATTTATCTGGGGAGTAGGCTAGTTGAGTTAGGCAATCCTGAAAATAGAAAGGTAGTGTTGAATCTAGCAAGTAGTTTAGGTTTGGGACAAATTTTGTGCACATATGTGTGCACACATACATACAGTCCCCCATACCCACTGGATCCTGTGTAAAGGAAATCTATTTGGAACCAAAACTGCTAATAAGATTAGAACATTGAGTCTTATGCTTTATTTGTGGCAAAATAACATCTGCTTTCAATTCTATAATGACAATATTCTCTACAGCTTTTATTAATTCAGTCTACATATGTCATTTGTAACAAAATAAACCTCAGGTATGGTGTTTACTTTAGGCATAGCCCACCTCGTGTGCCTTTTATTCTTTTGCTGTATACTAAGGTTTATTACTTAATCAAGTTTTTAGTAGATGAATTTCCAGTCACAAATAGAAGCAACAGTTCTTGGGAACTTTAGGAAAATAAATCATCATAAGGCCATAGACTGGTTTTTTGTTGGGAAGAAAAGTTAATACTTTTTAAAGAGGAAATGGGTATTAGAAGTTAATAAAAATTGTGGTAAGTAGAAGGATCACTGGCGTAGGAGTCAGGAGATGTGGACTGTAAATCCTGCTCTGCCAATAACAAGCTATGCACACTTTGGGAAGTCAGTGAATTATCTTAGGCCTCAACTTTATAAAAACATCTGTAAAATGGAAAGGTTCAGATTAAATGATCTTAAGGTCCCTTTCAGCTTATTAAAATAATCTACAAAAGTAGCTTTTTCTAAAGTTTTTCTCATAGTATCACTTAACCTGACATACACCATATGCCCATATAACAGATTATAGTAAGGAGAGTAGTAAAGGTCCCTGATATTCTGGTGTAGTTTCCTTTACCAATGCAGATTACAACCCTTCCATGCTTTTGAAATGGTATTATGAGCTGTTTTATCTTGTTAAATTAATTTTTAAAATAGGATTTTTAGAACTGAGAAAGTGACTTGTATCTACTACATAAAAGATGGTTGGCCACAGAGAAGAATAAAAACAAATACAAGCTATGATAGCTTCAAAGCACACAATATGAGAGTTTTAGGATATTCAGTACAAGAAGTATTTGCCGTGCTCAGTGAGCTTAAAATTTGTTTTGGTGACAGAGTACATAGAATAAATAGTAGCTATCGTTATGGACCAGAATAGTTTGGGGGAACTCCCTAAGACCCTAGAATGTAGATAACGTTTAAATAAATTTTTAAAGGATAACATTTTATTTTAGTCCAGTTTGATTCTACTCTCGACTTTTAAGCAGCTGATTTTTGTCAACCTTTTAATACTGAAAAGCATTTTTCTCTTTCCTAAACAGAAGAATAAAGCTGACTGCTATTCCTGAAAGAGTCTCAGGTTAGTTGTCATGACTATTTGTGTAAACAGGAATGTCTGGTTATCCTAACTGTGAGATAACTCTAGGAAGAAAATTAAGAAAAGAACCAGACCAGTGAGGTGCAGGCTTCCCAGAAAGATTCACAGAATTCTACAGGGATAATCTGGCCCAAGTTCCTTTTGTTCCTTTATAGATCAGACAAAGGGCCTGAGAAGTTGTGGGACTTTTCCAATACTACACAATTCATTATTAGCAGAGGCAGAACTGCTAACCTGATAACTAAGATTATTATTCCTGCAAATGCTATTTCTTCCCCAAAGAGTCTTTTAAGGAATTTTACTGAGTCCTTCACTGTGGAATGGAATACTGATTTAAAATCTCATCTGTAGAATTTTTCTTATTTCTGTTGTGAGAATCAAATGAGATTATGCAGGTGAAGTGCTATATGAATAAATTCTTGCCATTTTACAGATGAGGAAATTGAGGCTCACAGATCATAAATTTTAAGCTGAACGGGACCTTAGAAGTCATTTAGTCAAATATTTATTTGATGAAGAAAAGTCAAGTCTCAGCAGGGAAGTGAATTGCTTATGGTCACAATTGCTTATGGTTATCTATGGATAGTAAATGGCAGCACTGAATCCAGGTCCTGACTCCAAATCTAGGGTTCTTGGCACTGCACTCCCCCACTAATTGGATGTGCCCTCACTAGCTTTGTTCAGACAGGTAGTGAGTGTGGCAAAACCACAGTAACATCCAGGAAAATTGAGTTGTATTAGGAGTAAAACAGTAATGTAAAGGAGACTGAAGACAGTAAAGTGAAAAATAGATACTAAGTCAAGATTAGTGAGAGTTTAGAAGTATTTTATGAAAACTCCTTGCAGTGTATCCCCCTTGCTCCTGCTCTGTAGACCTGATAGAGCACAAGCTACACATCGAGTGCCTTAAATTTATTAAATACCCTTAGTTAACTGTCTCTGGGCATGAGCTTCTTTATGTGTAAAATGAGAGTGGTAGATGACCTGTAGTCCCTCCAGCTCTAAGGAGCACGAGTAGTGATTCTAAGTTATATGTGCAGTTGTCAAGAGCTCTTTGGGAATCACACAGCCTGGTTTCCATCTCTGGATCATCTCTACATGGGTTACTATGGGCATGTTATTTCACCTGAGCCTCAGTTTCTCCATATGTAAAATGTGAATAGGTAAGGCAACATAACCCTGGAAAATCTGAACTCAAGTCTTACCTCTCACAAATACTGGCTCTTAACATGGGCACGTGGGCAAGTCACCTATCCTCTAAGTTATAGAACAGTTGCTGATTTCTGGAATTCCCTATACCAATGAAGACAAGTGTTTGGAAAAAAAAAAAAAGTCCTGAGTTGCTATTGTTATAAAGGACACTTTAGAGTGCTATAATTATGTTTATATGTGATGTGATTTTATAAATACACACACACACACACACACACATATATACACATATAAAAATAACTTGACACTTTTAATAGCTGTGTGACCCTGGGCAAGTAATTTAACCCCAATTGCCTAAAAAAAAAAAACTACATATTTATATATGTAGTGATATATGGGAAGTTGTTTGAAACAGTTACTCCAAATGTTCCATAAAAGTTGTGTTTAGAAAACTGAGGAGGCAAAAGTAATTTTAGAATACAAATAGTTTAGTATGATTTAAATCTTAAAGTTATTTGCATGTGATAAATGGTCCAGATTAAAATACAAAACCATCAAGTACCACATGAATTTCACTTAGCCACTTGAGAGCGCTTCTGGATGATTATTAGTTTTTTTTTTTTGTTTTTGTGTGTGTGTGTGGTTTTTTTTTTTTTTTGGCAGTTGGGGTTAAGTGACTTGCCCAAGATCACACAGCTAGTAAGTGTCAAGTGTTTGGTCTGAGGCCAAATTTGAACTCGGGTCGTCCTGACTTCAGGGCTGGTGCTCTATCCACTGTGCCACCTAGCTGTCCCTTGATTATTAGTTTTAAATCAAAGACTTACATCCTATGCTTGGGAGCAAGATAGTTAAGGATACCATGCAAGTAAGGACAAGAGACTGGGTAGGGGATTACCAGGAATGGGGAAGTGATGATGATAGCCTAAAAGGTTCTCTTGCCCAGTTGCTTAGTACCAGTTTTTAATTAGTAGCTACTTATGTGGATGGTGCTAAGCAGTAATGATTATCTTATTAAATTGTTTAAAGAAGTTTCTTTGGGTACAGGTGAGAAGAATAAAGTGCAGGTTAGGGACAGTGGAGCAGTCTTACCTGTCTTGGCATCCCTAATCTTTAAAATAAACTAAGAAAATTTTGTTGTCCTCCACCAAATCAGCTATATACTATATTTCCTCTTCGTATAATAGCAAGGTAAAAACTCTCTTTTAAGGGGTGCTATCAAGGATAGTTGTCCTAAAATTAGACCTAACAGCTGTGTTTTGGTTTGTAGGTGTACTTAATTACTCTTCCTGTGCATAAGGACTTAGCAGCCACACGGCAAAATAGCTGCATATGTCAATATAATACTGAGTTTGTTAGTGAAGAACTACCCAACCGAGATTTACTTTAAAATATCCTGACACGAGAAGGACTTCCTTAGAAACTTTTTATTTACAGACTATATTGGGCAGAACAAAAACTTAGTACGACAGAAAAAAAGGGTAGTCGATTTCAGTTTTGCTTGGATGGGGGTAAAAGAAGGGGAAATTAGGAATGGTTTTTTTTTTCCAAATTAGCCTTCAAAACTTCAAAAGCTTCACTTCCATAATCAACTGTTGGAATAGTATTTTGCACTTGAGACGAGAAGAAATCACAGTACCTCTGTACTCTGCCCTGGTCAGACTACATCTGGAGCCCTTCTATAAGTTTACTGATAAACTGGAGATCATCCAGGAGACACCAACTAAGATGGTGAAAGGCCTTTAAATTATGCCATGTGAGGTTCCCTTAAGGAACCAGGGATGTGTATCCTGGAAGACTAAGAGGAAGTAAATATTGTAGGTGCTTAATAAATGTTTGCTTATTGATTAATCAACTGATGTCATAACTATACTTAAGAATTATAAAAGCTGTAATGCTGAAGAATGAAGTCGACAAAGCAGTTACAACGTACTTACTATGTGGCCAGGTACTGGAAATGGAATTGAGATTTGTTCTCCTTGGCCCCAGAAGGCAGAATCAGAAGCAGGGTATGGGAGATGCAAAAAGGCAAATTACGACTTGATAGAGGGGAGAAGGGGGAA